AGCTAGACTGAGAATACAGAAAGCGAAAAGTGGCTTAAAGTCACCTTTGCCTCCCTCCATTTCCATTATTGTACTGAGCACAGCTTGGCTAGAACTGAGAATTCAGCCCATGGACTGCAAAAGATTGATTTCCGCGCCCCGCCCCCCCCCCCCCCCCACACACACACATTTATCAGCATTTTCTACTCTGCCTTTTCTCTCCCACCAGTTTATTTGTAACAGTCTGCAAAGAAAGATAGCATATTATGGCCGCAGATTATTTTCTGTGATCCTTATTAGTGATAGGGATGTTTGGTAAGCAACTATATATATATATATATAAAAAATGCTCAATGCTCAGAATTGGATGTAAATGAATCTCACAGGGCTGGTAATCCTACTTATGTGGCTCTATTATTCCTCTTCTAACATACTGTACCACTTTATCAGTTTACTCATTTCTCATACTGATCTGGAGAGAGACCAAGCATAAAAAGACATATCCAATCCTTCTTCTCCTCCACAGACGCTGTTTGAAAGGAGCTTGTCCACCTCCAGACACAAGACTGCATTCTGTTTTCCAATAAAATAAAATGCTACTTTCATGTGATGAAAAATGATTAAACATAAATATGTAGGCCCAAGCTCTTCTCCTGTTCTATTGATTACTTTTATGACAGCTTTTGAAATGCTCAAGAGGCCAGAGAATGTTTGGTTTTGAAATACAGTAAGAATATTTTAGAATATGAATGTAATTAGACTTGGTAACTAGAGCCTGCAGTCTCCGCAATGTTCTCTGCACCCACTGCAGACAGTGAAGTCTGCTGCTTGGCTGGTAATTCTGAGACAGAATTTGATTAACTCCTCAGGCACTAGACATAATGAATGAGATTTTCCATGGCACCTTGCTTGGTAGGTAGCAAATCACTGGAGCTTGAGACTATCCACATGTCCAGAAGCAGAAGTGCCCCTCTTCTGAACATGTGCCAAGAACTATAAACACCAAAGGGGCTAATTATTTCTGGTATTTTTTTTCTTATTCTTTTCCAAACACTTTGTAAGATCAAACAGGTTTCTCTCTATGGACATGTAAAACAACTTCTTTTCAAAAGGTATTTTTATAATAAGCCACACAGGTTTACATAATTTTAAATTACAGTGTTAACAATATTATTTTACAAAGTAATGCAGTGGTGACATCCTTATTTACCAATCGAAGTATACTGGCTACATACATTGTATACTATTTTGAGATTAATAAATTACAAATATATCTCAGTTGCAACCAATGTTAGGAAACCAGTGCATTGAACACAGATTTTTCATAATCAAGAGACTCTGACTTCCTGGAAGCAAATTATGCTGCACTGTGTTAAACTAATAAAATAGTAGCTTTTGTCAGAGGATTTGAAATCTGTTGATGGACAGCAATGCATTAAGCCTCACACGAGCCTTGTACTATTCACATTTTATAAAAGGCAAAATTTAAGCACAGCGAGGTTGTTACTCAATGTCAAATAGTGAGTGAAAATCTGAGCACAAAATAAAAAGATTTCCACTTCCCTGCTCTAAGCACATGGCAATGGGTTAGGTTTTCCAAGGTACATAAGGGAATTAGGCACCCAGTTCCCTTAGGCTCCTTTGAAAATTCCAGCCAATGGGTATACTGTAATTTGAAATCTGTTTCATAATGATCTCTCTCCCCTTATCCTTGCATGGCATCTACAACTGTGAAGTAAATTACCTGCCAAATCATGGGATGGGTTTCACTAAAAAAATAAATTAATAGAGTTTGAACATATTTTTCTCAGTTTTCTGACAACCTTCCCTGCATATTAGGGTATAGGCAAAAAAATTACCATTTGAAATACAAATTAACAGTCCAATCCTGCTGTCCTGCCTGAAATAAACTCCCACTGACTTCAATGGGAACTAAATGGCCTGCGGAGTAAGTTTACTATAGTTAACATAAGAGATTTCCAGATTTCTATTAAAAAGTGCTTGTTCCTTCCCTCCTTCAGTAATCTAGATCTGAAAAGTTTGTAGCAATCCTTATAAATGTTAATGTTAAGTTCTGTGGTTCAAATAATAATAACACACTGTTCCAGCACATATTTCAATGACTAAAAATATATTTTTGTTTCCACAAACGTGTATTTGTTATCTAACTATGGACTGAAAAAGCTAACAACAAATTTGTTCTTACACTCACAGGACAAGGACAATTCCTTACCATGCAATTTTGTCACATCAATCCTAAAATTTGACTAAATGCTAAACTTCAGTTTAACTTCTGAAAACAAAAATCATGACACCTGTTGTGCATTTTTGTTAAAAGTGTAAATGTCTGACTGCCATAGTTCATTGGTTCCCAAACTTTTTACTAAGGTGACCCACCAGCTATGTGTTCTTATTTTGAAACCTACCATTACATATATGCATCTTCTGCTCTGGCACCGCAACCCTATTCCCAGCCCATTGTGGAGGGGAGGCCTTGGGAAGAGGAGGGTTGGAGAGCAAGCTCACCTCATAGTGGTGGCTCCTGTCCCACAGGGCTGGGCCTGGCTCTTCACTGTGGGCATTGCAACCTGGTCCACAGGGTCACAGTGTCACTGTTAGTGTGGCCTGGAGAGGGAGCTGGGCCCAGCCCCATCAGACAGGAGCTGCTGGTGCGGTGGGCTTGCTTTCCATCCCACCACACCCTACTTCCAGGGCTTTCTCTCCACCCCAGGAGAAGTATATGTTTGTCTAGGGACCAGAGATGGGTTAATCTGGCCTGGAATGTGGTGACTCATCTAGTACCTTCCCTCAACCCACTAGTGGGTTGGGACCCACCATTTGGGAAACACTGGCCTAGTCAGTTACAAATGTTACTGATTGTTCTGCTGTGGGGAGCCACACAAGGACACAGAAGCCTCAGTTCAGATCTCTCAGAACAATTTATGTAATTTAGACACCATTTTTTATGCTGAAATAGGGTTGATTTTGCTCTGTTCCATCAGTGGAGTCTCTCCAGATTTACCCCATTTGCTTCTGAGAGAAGAATTTGACCCTCAGGCTCTTAATCTGAATGGTATTGATTAAAATGAGCACTAAACTCACAGCAATACTATTATAGTTGTTTTTGCAAGAATAGTTTTCCTTTGATCTTTTTATTAACAGCTACAATTTCAAAGAACCTTCTAGTCACCACTGCTCTGAACTGAAGTCAGCTGGCTTCTTAAATCTTAACTGTTACAAAATTAGTTCCAATAGTTGTTACTTTAAAAAGTGAGAGCAATGTTAAGCAATAGCAAGGAAAATATAAATTTAAAGCCTTAGCTTCACCCCACACATTTCTTTCTTTCTGCCTGTCATTTTACACTAGAGCCATATGAAACTTTCATGATGAAACCTCTACCTGGGCAGAGTTCTCCAACATTTCTGAGCCTTTCAGCAAAGCAGGGATGTGTTTTTAAGCAAAACCCAGGGCAAGTTTCCACTGAATCTTGGTTGATTTACAGTTTTGGGAGTAAACCATATTGAATTCTAGGGTTACTGATTTTGTGACCTTTTCACTCCAAGTCAGGCAACATGTGAGGCTTCATCTGAATTTTCATTTTGTTTTGGGGGTTGTTCCAACCCCAAAAGCAAAGCAAAACTCTCCAACGCCTGGGAACTGAAACCTTTCAATAGCTTTAATATAGATACAGAGAGAAAATAGGGCAGAAACTGAAAAGGAGCCACTTTGGCTGAACAGTTAGTCTCCTTGGCTGAAGCTCCATTTAATCACAAGAGAGGAGCTTGTCGTTAGAGCTGGGGCTGGGGGGGGGATTTTTTTGTTGAAGCTGTCAAAACTGTCATTTTGTCAAAATTGCTGTATTTGTCAAAACGAAATGTCACTTTCAACTAAATGTTGTTTCGGGAGGGAATGAAACAAAGCATTTTGATAAAGTCCAAATGTCCCATTTTAATAACATTTTCAGAACGAAACATTTTGATTTTCCATAGTGAAAATACTTTTTTGAAACCAAATTAATTGCTTTATATAAAAATATTTTTAAAACATGAAAATCAGAACCAAATGTTTTGATTTTTTTTTTAAATCAAAACAAATGTTTTGGCCTGAAATGATTTTTTTAAAATTTCATCTCATGGGAAATTTTGAAATATTTTGTTTTCATTCCATTTCGGAATGGAAAACATATATTGTGGAATTTCCTGTGAAATTGTTCCCAGATAGCTGCTTTTATCATTTAAGAGTCTCCCCCTTCATAAGAGCTCAACTGCCCACTGAGGGTAGTAATCCTAACCACTAGGTCATTCTTCTACACTCACCAGTCATACAGTAGGAAAGCCCATGATATAGAATTATATTTTTGAAAATAGGCAACAGCATCCCAAACCAGTCTTTCTTCCCTGAGGTGGTACAGTAAAGAAACACACTTTTTTCATAATAGTGGCTTACCTGGCTTTCTGGGGCACATAAACTTTCTCTTCCATAAAGGCCAGAAATCTTATCTAGAGTGTTACCATGATGATGTGATATGACTCTTTGATTTATGCCACAGATATTGTAGTGGGGATTTTAGCTGTTGTAGTCACATCGCTAATATTTCAGAAAAATTCAATTTTTAGGCCAAAAAAAAAGTGGGAAAATTCATTGGGTGCCTTGCAAATCATGTTACTGCACTTCCCCTCCCCCCAAGCCTCTTATTATTACAGTATAGAAGTGTAGGAGTAAAGCAGTAATGTCTGTGATTTCTTACCTGTGAGATTTTTCTTATACTCATTTGCTCCAGTTAGAACAGCCTTTGCAATACCGAAATGGCAGACTGTTAACAGCTGCTATTTATATAATATTTACAATAAAGGGTTCATTCCCATCATTTGCCTAATTGCTCTATCTGGCATTGTTGGGGGAAAAAACCACACAGCTGATGTCAATGTGCATCATCATACAAAGGTGAAGACTGCTAACGTTTATCTGCATTTGGGTTTTGATTTTGGTTAGAACAAAAGAGCAAAAGATCCTACAGTACCTTTTGACTTAAGTGTCATCACAGGAAAATCACCATCATACTCTCCTAAAAAATAATCAAGACATGCTAGTATGTTTGTTCTGTTTCATATCACAAACATCATAAGCACAGTACACTGAATTCAAATAGTTTAAAGATAGATATTTAAAGATATTACACTCTGCTTAGGACCTGATTCTCATACGCTTGCTCATATTCAATAGTACCTTAATCCACAAATAGCCCCTCTGAACTCAATAGAGCTACTTTGATAAGTAAGGTGAGTACAGGAATTGGAATCTGTCCCTTAAATGAGTTTGCCTCCCTGAGCCAGAACTCTCCATTTCACTTCTTGCAGTACACACCTTATTTTAAATGCTAATGAGATATCAGAATCCCTCTCATACACTTTCATTGTCCTTCTCTGGCTTAACCCCAGCACTGTGAGATTTAAAGCAACCTTTTAAAGAAGGGTTCTAATTTAATTTTCACTTTTGGGGATTTAAAAAGAAAGCATAACTTTAGATCGAACTTTGACACAAAATATCATACGGTTATCATGACTTTTACACAAACAGAGTGTCAAAATGAAATAAAGAATATAAAAGCAGTGTACTGAGAGCTCCTACTCATGAGAAACTATTCACCTATTGAGTAGAGTTCTCTTCTGCATCTTTCCCCATTCATCCAAAGTCGACAAGTGCTGAATTATTTTGCAATAATGTAGCAATTTTCATCTGAAGATCTCAAAATACTTTATAAAAGGTCTGACGGGCCTCATGAAAGCCTTGTGAGGTCAGTTTTATACCCATTTCAAAAATGGATGGACTGAGAGACTAAGATTTTCAAAAGCCTCCATAATTTGAGGCCCTACCCTGAGATAGTCTGGCCCAATTTTTAGAGGTGCTGAGCACTCCCAAGGGGTCACTAAAGTCAATGGGAGCAGTGGATGCTCAGCAGCTATGAAAATCAATTCCTAGATGTCTCATGGGGGTGGATTCTTTTTGAAATGTTGGTGTAACTGACTTGACTGGACCCTGTGAAATCCCGCAGGGCTGGCAGTTGGAGTGGGAGGGGGGAAGCCATGTTTTATTTGTAAATGGAGCATATACAAAAGGCACTGAATTCTGTTCAGCTGTAACCATTTTTGTTCTGTAGCGCAGACAAAGCCTAGACATCATCCCACACATTTCCTGTTGTATCACTTACCGTAAAGTCCTATGTGTAATTCATAAAGTTTTCATTAAAATAGGCTTTTCTAGAGGCACCCTGGATTTAGATTTACTGGCTTCTTACTGATCACTGATCTGCTAAATGGATGGAAATAAACCTGTTTTGATTGTTAGCCTGTTGCCAACAAATCATGCAACCACTAGCAATAGAGAGGGAAAACCCTTCTAATCAGGTAATGTATTTCATTAAGCCAGTGTTTCCCAAACTTGGGATGCCGCTTGTGTAGGGAAAGCCCCTGGCGGGCCAGGCTGGTTTGTTTACCAGCTGCATCCGCAGGTCCAGCCGATCACGGCTCCCACTGGCCGCGGGTCGCTGCTCCAGGCCTGCACTGCTTCCTGCAGCTCTCATTGGCCTGGAGCAGCGAACCGCGGCCAGTGGGAGCCGTGATCGGTTGGACCTGCAGACACGGCAGGTAAACAAACCGGCCTGGCCTGCCAGGAGCTTTTCCTACACAAGCGGCATCCCAAGTTTGGGAAACACTGCATTAGGCCAGTTGGATCAATGCTGCTGCTGATACCGGTCTACACATTGTACACTACGGAAGACAGGTATGTGGGAAATTAATTTTGTCTTATTATGAACACTGTCACATAATATGGGTTTGAAAATTCAATTAGCTTTCAAAGAACCAGCCTCGCTTTTGGTGCGGGAGGGGTGTCTTTAACATAAAACATAATGCAAGCTTTCCTTTAATTGATTAAAACTGAAATCCTTTTTGGAGCGGGGGGGACATAGATCTGAAACCTGGAATTAAAGAGATTCTCAAATTTAAACTAGATATGTAAGATTGAAAAATAGGTTGAGAATTTGACAGACTCTCAAAACTTCATGAGGCTCACGCTCACCAATGGAAACTGACACTGTGTCAAATTCATTCCTTAAGATAAAAAACATGCAGTGTTTGGCTTAGTAAATCCTAAATCTATTTATCAAAAATAACTAGACATCCAATGGTCCAGGTATTCTCTCTCTTAAGATGAGATCTGAATAATAGTTTCTAAATCTTTTCTATACTTTACTACTTTAGTGACTATTTAAAAAGGATAAAATGCCTTTGTGCTGCTGATAACCATCCTTACCTCCTACAAAATTCTTTAAAGCTGGATACATTACTTGACAAGTAAAGGTGAGATGACACACATGAAAGTGTTTGTGTGAGTCCTACTTTGGTGTTAAAGCTGCCTCTACTAGACTGTTTGCAGTCTCTTTTCCCCACTCTCCGCAGTCTAGATGTCACTTCTACTAAGACCAGTCTTATCCCTAAAGAGCTACCTTTTCACAGCTCTATTTAGTTGCTGAAGGATGGATGTGTCTGTAACATGAACATTGCCTTTTGTGATGGCTGATTACTAATCCTCGTATTCCCCAGGCCCAGAAAGAGAAAATCACCAGGTAGCAAAGGAGTCTACAATAAAATGTAATTTCTTAAAGACTGCAATAAGACACCACCCAAACTACTGATATTGTATGGTATCTGGGATACCAAGGCATTTCACAACCAGAGTGTTCACAGCTAAATTAAAATGCACCCATCTCTGAGGTAGAAAGTGACAATTAGTGCATTGCATGATAGGAAAGGGGGAAATGTTGATTAAGGACATCAGGGTAGGGTTTTTTCCCTCTGACAACATCTAAAGGATATACAGGAACTAATCCAGCTGCCACTGAAGTCAATAGAAAAAGTCTGCATGATTTCATTGGGAGCAGGAATGGGTCCTGAAAGTCTGTACAAAATGGACAGCAATTTTCAAGTTCTCAGCAGAAACACCCACACACAGAGTAGCCAAATAGGACACAATTTGTCTATATGAGAAGAGAGAAGGGCTCCTTGGACAGCACTGAGCTTCACAAGTGTGGTCCCAAGGTATTTCTGATTTCATGCTTAGTCCACTAATGCCAAGATGCTTAAAACTACATCTCCTGTACCTTGGGGGAAAAGCAGGGATTACCTAACATAATACTTAGCAAATGAACACCCCAAAGCTCCAGCCACACTAGATTTTATATATATATCAGGCTTTTATGTCACACTTGGTTCTGATAGATCCATGGCCCCAATGTTGAATCAGGCAAATTGCCTCATCTAGCATTATATATGACACTGCATATACCTCTAAATATATGAAATTATTAACTGAATCACCCTCTGGATATGACAAATGATGTCTTAATCTGTACTTCCCTGTCTGTTTCCTAGGCATTAAACTCAGTGAGCTATTCCTGTGTCTAAGATTCTTTTAATCCATTTTTGTGCCACCATTTACGGAAATGGTAGCTGATATTTCTTTGCTGTTGGAAATGAAAAAGTACAAGTGTGGTATTTATTTTGCCATCCCTCTTTGCACCTTTGCAAAGAAATGTGGTTCTTTACTTATCAGTCTAACAGTGTGGTAGGTGGCAGTTGATAGCATAGTATAATTGTATTATGCCTAATAATTTTAATTCTGATTTTTCTAAAGGATCATCCCCTATGAAGCCATAAACGCATCTTCTGTGTTGTGTGCAAGGAGGGGATAGTGCGTCCATAGTATTGTTTTCCTACCTATTTCTCCCCAACTCCACCCCTTGCTTTCTGTAGATGCCCCTTAACTGGAGCTCCATGGAATCTAATGGGTAGCATAGCGGAGGTACCACTGTCTGCCATGCAGAAATCCCTTCCCTCTAGAACAATCTGCGTGGGAGGTAATACAATTCAGGTTTATATTACAGTACTTTCCTTTAGTTCTCATGTGTGGCTTCACTGAGCAACTGCAGGGGTCCCAGCTAAGAGTGGTATCTTCTACTTGGGGAAGACAAAACAGTGGAGCAACAATCACAACATGAAATTGTGGAAGATTTTGAGCATTATATTTGTAGTTTCTCACTTTGGCCATGAGTAGGACAAGTATGCTGTTTAACTTTGTTATCCCCTATGGGATCAAAGAACTGCTAAACCTCAAGGGATGCTGGGAGCTGTGAACTATGAGGTGGTCATTCAGCTGCATGCAGATAGTCTTGTTTATTTATGTAAGTAGTTCCACTGAGGACAGGTGCTTTGGCCACTTGCCAGTCCTTGAAAATCCTGGAAAGAAATGAACTACTTGTGTGAGTCAGGAGTGCAGAATTGGGCCTTAAAAATGCTAACTGTTTGCCTATATATGTATGCATGAAGATAACTAATACCTTGCATGAATCTCTGACTGAGGGAAAGTTGGCATTCAACTGTTATAGCTCAGGAGAAGGAGTTCAAGTTGGACTAATCATGCCTTCTGAATGTCCAATGGATTGCAAAGTCTTATGAGGAAGTGACTCTGTGTTTAGTAAATCCCAGCACTCCGATTTAGTGAACATGTTCAGGTACACTGCCCCCGTCCTTTTCAAGAGCTTTCTATGTCAGCAGTGCATAAATGAACAATGACCATTTAAGCATGGAGTACAAACAAGGTTGATGAATTGGAAATAAGAATAATTTATGTAGAAAACCACTTTCTGCACTTTTCCACATAAATAATGAAATGTTGTAAAAGTACCAAAGGAGACCAGGATCTTGCCATTGCAGGTGATCCAAAAATTAAGATGGCTGAACACTGAGTGCTCTATGCCACCCAGCATTCAGTGCAATTTTTTGAAAGAGGTGGCTTTGGGGAAAAGCTTGTAGAACCTTTAGTATATTGTATTTGTACATTACCTAGCACAATGAGGTCCTGGTCCACAACTAGAGCTCCTAGCCACTAATCTACTATAAATAATAGTGTGTGTTTAATCTTTGGGAATGATTCTAACTAATTAAAAACAAGTCAAATGACATGGACTAGGGTGAGAACTATTGCTCTCAAATCCATGGGAGCAGGCAGCAGGGGAACGTATATCATCAGACGTCATCCCTGATATCCATCATGGGTGATGGCAGGAGTCTAATGCAGATGGGGAAAAAAAATTCTAGCTGGATAGCGATGGAGCATGGAAAGGGGGCAGCAGATGGCAATAAACACTCAAGTTTATTAGTAATTCATGAAGTTGGATCTGCTCCCACTATTGCAGAGAAGTGCAAATCGTAGTCTTCTGTTCCAGAAAGACCCAGTAAGATTCCAGTGGAGAAAGCAAGTGTTGTTTCTGGGGAAGTGGGGGGAGAGAGAATAAAATTCTGCTGGGGGAAAACAACTATTAGCCTCAATTTGCCATTATCCTGCACCTTTGGTAGCCCTTTACAGGAGTGCGAAGTGGGTGTAAAATGTTATCCCATCAGAATAGTACTGTTTTACACAGACATAAATAAATACACAAGTTGGTGGGCAAAAGCAAATTTGATCCTTAGTTCCTGGCCTACACGCCATAGAATCCCAGCACTGGAGGCGGCATCAAATAGCTACCCTACAAAACAGCTAACAGCAGAAAGTGAAGAAAAAAATCTCCTCTTCCTTGGAACTTGTAGGAGGAATTTAGATAGGAGTAGTGTGATCATCTTTTCCCAAAGGGAAAATGACACATCCCATGAGCCAGCCCGAGGCCCATTTCTCCCTCCCTCGTGCACGGCTGGCCGAGCCCTCCCTGCCTCCTGTCCATACGGGGCTGGCCTGAGGTCCCCCTTCCTTTGACAAGTGGAGCTGGACCAAGCTCCCCCACAACCCACTTCCTGTGTGCAAGGCCAGTCCAGCCCCCCTGCGTGTGGGGCCAGTCGGCCCAAGCCACTCTCCCAGTCCTCCCTCCAGCATGGTGCTGGTGTTGCCACTCGCTCCCCACATCTGCACGTTCCTCCGCACCCTGCTAGGGGTCCCATCCTACTTTTTTGACAAAACTCTGCATTTGTCCAGTTTACTCTTGCCAACTGATGATCAGTTGGCAAGAGCAAACTGGATGAATGCTCAGTTTTGCCCCCAAAAATCGGGACAGCCGGGATAGGGCCTAAAAAAGGGACTGTCCTGGCTAAAATGGGATGTATGGTCACTCTAGATTGGAGAGACACATTGAATCTGCTGTTTGAATTTCCTCATGTAAAAGCCTCTCCAATTTAAATAAAATATATAATGTCAATGATGGCCATTTCAACTCTGTTCCCTGGCACTCTTTGTGCTGAATCAGGTGCTTTTAACACCACATTAATTAATAACAATGGCACTGTTCTTGTTTAGCAGTTCTTGTGCTCAGGAGTCCTGAGTTTGTCTGAAGTGCTAAACTTTATGCAGGTGCAGCACTGTGTGCCCTGAATTACTATGGGCCATTAGGTTTTTAAGAATAGAGCTCTTACAGTATCTTACATAAAGTTATTTGCAGGCTGAGTAGTTGTCTGCTAGAAATAAGCAGCCAAATTATTTGGACATCTATAGTACAGGAGGAAGCAGCTGCCTTAGCTCTGTTAACTTTAATACTGCAGCTGGTAATGCATCACTTTTTCAATCGCCTAAACATCTTATCAATTGGATTTTAAGACCATGTTATGATTGGTGATATTTACATACTGTAATACCGGCTGCTAATAGTTGACAGTAATGTTTCTCTGCAAGAAAAGGGAATTGAGCATAGTCAACTAATTCCTAACATAAAGATCATGTAGCGTGAGCTGCACTTAAATGGCTATGGTTCGTTTCCATGTACCACAGAGAGATGAAAACCACACTCATTATTACATTTCTGCTGTAGGCAATTGGATCAATGCTTAAATCACTTGTCATCAAATGCAAAGGGAAAACTAAAGTGATGGAACTAAAGTGATTAGAATCTGAGGGAACTTTACGATTTACGTGTGGGTGTATACAGCCAGATGAAAGGGCAAAATTGGTGTAAATGTAGAACAGCATCAAAGTCTTTGTTGTTTGCCAGTGGCATCTCTGCTCAAGAGACGACTTTGGGTAACAACTGAAACTGGCAGGTTTTGTATCACTCTAGTAAAAACCCACCTGAATGTAAAACTTGATTAACAGACTAGCAGATCTTGTGAGTGTGCATGGAAAAATCATTTGCCAACAAGCTCGGATTTCAACTTGCAATGAATAATTGTTCTAGTGTGATGACTTCCTTTGAATATCTGAGTTTTCTCAGCTGTACAACTATTTGTCTGAGCCAAATAGCCACCTCTGAAAACAGAAGATCTGATGCTGTTCTATATGTAACTTCCATATATAGGAACTGGGAAAGGGTTGGTGGGAAGCTAAGAATGGACAGAATCCCTAATTTTTGCTTTCTTGTTGACTAGAAGGGGACAGAAGTGATAAGGTAACAAACAGTTCATATCCCTAAGTGTTGTGCTAGGGAATGCTACATCTCTCAAAATGTATTAGAAAAATAACTTCCATAAATGAAGGGTACATTGCATCCCCTATCTGTCCACTGCTGCCCCCATCCATACAAACTGCCTTTTCATGAGCTTTAAAAACAAATATATATTAAATTAATGAGCCATACTCTGACAGCAATAAGCCACAATCATGTATGTATAGGTAGTTAAAGGCATGAGGCCTCACAACATGCCTAGATTATACACCAATAGCCTGCTAATTGCTCCAAATAAAGGTCATTCTGACTGAAGGTATATAGTTAGTTGTGCTTTCTGTATGGAAACACAAACCAGTTGCCTAAATTGTATTCTCTAAATTTGCATTCATCTGTTCTTGCATATCCCTTATCTGAGTGCACAGACTGGGTAACTATTTATTTAAGAACCTGTTCAGTACACAATTAATTGATTTGTATGAGGAAATGCAATATTTGTGAACACAGCAAAAGTGCTATAAACTGAAAATAGTGTTTGTGTGCCTGTGCGTGTACAAAATCCTTATTTTTAATTTCCTTCTGCCTAATTGTAAAGTGACCTCAGTGTTAATTTATGGAGTACAGTACTTTCTAACTGAAATAATATTGGAATGGCTCAAATTCTATAATTAAGTGGTCAGAACAGAAAGGATTTCTTTTTAACTTAAAGGCTGATTGTTAGCTGACACCAGAATATGCAACATATTGAATTAAACAAGGAATCGTGCATTATTTTTCTTGCTTACCGACTGCCTTTAGGGAGGCATACTTGTTAAGCTCCTTGCCTGGGGGCTGTTGTTCATAAGGATTTGTGATCTGTCCGATGCTGGGGTATGAATGTGGATGTGCCATCTGAGGGAGGAGAGGAGAAGTTGGTACCACATTATTCATCTGTGGACCATCTGTATTAAAAAACAAAAATGAAAAAGTCTTATTTTAAAAAAGTAAATCTTTAGGTTTGATCATCATTGTGCATTACAAACTAGACAGAGTGAATGTATCATGGTGTTACCAGAAAACAAATTAGCGTTAGAATACAGCCAATCTAATCTCTCCAGTAAATATATTCACAGGCCGTGGTATGGTTAAAGCAGCATATATGAACAGAACAAAGACTTGGACTAGTAAATATTATTTTAAAGCTATTGATTATTAATATGCTATGGCTGAGTTCATTGCAGCACTAACTGCATGGTTTTGGAGTGTTATTTTTATATATAAAATATGAATATGAGAGAAAGAAAATGAACACATATTGTGTGTGTGTATATATAGTGTGTATATATATTATATGGGCCAAAACTTGCATTTAGTTCCATATTCCAACCTGAACCCTAAAGTTCAGGTGTATTTGAATCTAGGGTTTTGGTTCAGGTCCATCATTAACATTTGATGATAATGACCAATAATGAGGTCATTCTAAAAGTAGATACATCTCTAAAGGCCAGAGGCCATTTGTATTTTTCTTCCTCCCCTTCCTCTCCACCACCCATGTTAATAGGTGTCATAGCTGCAGAACAAGATAACATTTACTGTAGCAGCTGCCTCAAGTCTAGAAACAGAAACTGGTGAGTGCTTCTGGACTGTCGTATCAGTACAGATTTTATATCCATTCTCAGGCTGGTTTGTCCCTTTAGATAAGTGAATACAGCGTGACTACTCCCCCTCCCCCTAAAATGTACGTGCTTGAACAATGAGCTTTTCCACCACTATTTTAGCTTCTGTCTAGCTAGGTGAATCAGACTTGTATGCTTCTCCCAATAAGCTAGATTTCTACATGGTCAGCATACCCTTTTGGTGAGTCTGCTACCAAGCTGTGTGCTTTACAGTATTTTGAACTATGTGCCAGGCAAATAACAATGCTGTTGTCAAGTATATAGAGTTTCAAAACTCTTAACATTCACAGAATAGCTCATTCTTTGTTACCTATTCCCGCAGTGAAACCATAATGCTGAATTTGTGACTATACGGTAACTCTCACAGCATCAGACATAGGATTATGACAAAGTAGAAGGAAAAGCTGGGTTGCAATGGAGAAAAAGCTTATGATGGAGTGAAAGGACCCTCCCCCACAGGATCTGGCAGAAGCCAGATATCCCTACAAAAGCTGCCAGGATTGCAAGGGAACGGAGCCACCTGGCTGCCTACAGTTCTCTAACGAAGCTGAGTGGATCAGCAGGAGTCCATGGAGAAATGCAGTCAAGTCCCACCTCCTAGCATTTGTATAAACCAGTTGAGAGAGGACACCCTGGTGAATGAAGGATGGGGTGGGGCAAATCTATGATCTATTAACTGAATGTTCCTTCTTGCTATCACTGAATATAATAAGGGCTAATAGCAGGAGTGTTATCAGTGGATACTGACTAGAGCTGGGTGGAAAATGGTTATCCCATTTCGTGAGGATTTTTGCACATTTTTTCTGTCCCAAATTGGGACAAAAAATTAACATCTCAAAAAAATTGTGAATCAAAAAGCTGAAAAAAAAATTGATTCAGTCAATTCAAATGTTTAATTCCAATAATTTCAAAACATTTTGTTTTCATTGCAATCTTTTTTACATTTTTACTGTAAATTAACTTACATTTCAAAATGAAAAGTCGTTTCAAAATAAAAAATGGAACCTTTTTCATTTTGAAAATGTCAAAATGTGGTATTCTGACAACTTTTAAATGTTTTCCCAACACTTTCTAAATTGTAAATTCATCGAAACCGACCCTTTCCTGCAAACATTTTTGGTTTTGACAGATCAGCATTTTCCAACTCCCGCTCCCCCCCCCAAAAATGTTTGATTGAAAAATTCCCAACCAACTGTAATAATGACCCCTATCGACTGAATGACTGTAGTGACTACTATCATACAAGGAGCTAGAGCTAAAGAAAATCCATTCCCTTTCTACTGAGTCTGAGGCCCAGCTGAGGAAAGCCTTTTACTCTGATGGCTTGTACTAAATGGCTTTGAAAGTAGCTGGGCACTCTTTGCAAACCAGCTGTACCACCCTTTATGGCTGAGTCTTCACTAGACTTTTTGGTGAAGTCTCATGCCATTGCACTAACAACACTGTAGCTCCACTGGTGGGAGCATTGGTATTAATAGGGCATCAGCATTTTTACCAACATGTCTTTTAGTCTTGTTCAGAGTGGGGAGATGCAGTGGTAAAAATACTGGTGGCATGGCTACACTAGCCATTTCATTGTTGCTACCACTGGTGGACCTGCAATGGTGGAAATCTTGTCTAGTGTAGGTGGCCACAGTTCTTTGTCTAGCTTCCACCTCTCTGTCAGGCCTGTCATGCTTATTCAGACATATTTTTAATAGCAACAAGGGAAATATAGAAAAACACTGACAAAGAAAATGGATTTAAGTATAAAAATGTTCTTTCTTCCAAGTGCACTCAAGTGTTGAAGTTCCACTTTAATACCAAGCTATTATCAGAGTTAATGTTGCTGCTTTTCAGCTCTTCAACAATTTATGAAGATTTAATAATTAAATATATTAGCTATTTTTTGTATGTCTATGGAATCTGATTTCTACTTCGCCGGCTTTTGTCTGAGGCCATGAAGTATTCTAAATGGTGACTTTCAAGTTGATTAATGACAAAACCTCTTTCATTGCTGTTCACTGTCTGCTACAGTAGCCTTCATTCACACAGAAGTACTGATACAAGGCTAGATCATTGGAGGGAAAACATTATTCAAGTTCCACATTCAATTGGCCATTAACACAAAGGCTAATTAAGCAAAAGGCCAAACTGAAACACAGCACATTGCATAAGCGAGGAAAAGATGCATGTTTGTAAAAGCCTCTACATTAGACTGGATTTCCAAGATTTAAAGGGAAATCTGAGCTGTCTACAATCACACACTTAATTCTGCATCCTACCATTTGTGAGTCTCTAAATTACCATCAGTGGTAAGTATGCCAGTTGCATTTTCAAGATTTTGAGTCTCTCAACAGTTTGAATTCTAATTCAGTTGCAATCTTTCTTGTGTTTTCTTTGAGTGAATTTGATAACCAAATGCCACTGTGGAGCCAATTTATCTTTTTCCCACCAAACATAGGTAATTTAAGAAGGGTTACCCCAATATTTGAATGATATTCAGAAAAATCTTATTATGGAATTAAGAAGGATATAATGTGAACTATCATGCTGGTGATGTGACTGTAATCTAGCCACTAGGGGGAGCCCAGGTTTAACATGAACCAGGTAATGTTCTTCAATATGACCCTGCCCTGCCTACAGGGCCAATGCAACCCATTAGGCGACCTAGGCGGTTGCCTAGGGCGCTAGCATTTGGGGGGCGGCATTTCAGGTCCTTCGGCAGCGACCGCGGCGGCCAGATCTTCGGCCACCCTGGTCGTCGTTGGCATTTAGGCAGAGGGAGCTGGGGCAGGGGGGCGCGGGGAGGGCCACCTGCAGCAAGTAAGGGGGGAGGGTGGCACACAGAGGAACTCCCTGCCCCAGCTCACCTCTGCTCCACCTCCTCCCCTGAGCATGCCGCCCTGCTCTGCTTCTCTCCCTCCCAGGCTTGCGGCGCCAAACTGATGGGCGCTGCAAGCCTGGGAGGTGGGAGAAGTGGAGCGGCGACGGCGTGCTCGGGGAGGAGGCGGAGCAGAGGTGAGCTGGGGCAGGGAGTTCCTCTGTGTGCCACCCTCCCCCCTTACTTGCTG